TACATTGATTTCCATGAATATTTTAATATTTTGTTTTTTGGGCCAAAAATGTCAGAAGATACAGGAAGTTTCCTGGGGATGAGGACACAGAAGACAAAGCAGGACTATGGTGATTAACATTATCCCCTCGGACTGATTTTTAAGCTCCTACAGAGCTTATAGGCAAAATCAAAATCCCCCGATTACATATTTTCATAGGGCCATGAACCTCTGCTTTATTCTACTTATCACAATTGTAATTTGTATAATTAATTAACGTCTGTCTACCCTTGTGGCCTACAAGTCCCCTCAGGGCGGGGTCTGTCTGTTTTGCACGACTACCTGACATGCAGTCATGATAGTCCAGGAAAGACAGGAAGGAAAAAGGAAAGAGGAGGTAAAGGGGAAAGGGAGAAAGGAAAGAGCAAAATTTTTATGAAGGACACAATGGGTCCAGGTGACAGACACTATCAGATGGAGGGAACACCCCTTCACTGTTTCCGCACAGAACACAGCAAGGCCAAGAATCAGTGAAATCAACAGGATGGCACCCCAGCAAGTCAGGAGTCTGCGGCGGGCCCAGCAGTGTCAGACAGCACTGACAAGGGTGACAGATGCCCAGCAGGAATGTGGCAGCAGAGCAGCGACATACTGAGGCATGGACTGGTTCCTACACTCTCAGTAGCCTGAGGCCAGTGACACCCGGACATATGGGGAAGCGGATGGGGAAATGCCCCCATAAGGCCTAAGCGTAGATAGCGAGTAACAGGGGTGTTAGTACCAGTATGACCTGTTATAACCTCAAGTGGCTACTGCTAAGGACATCTGAGATGCCCGAAGACTAAAACCAAAGAAATGTTACCAAAACGGTCACGAATTCAGTGTTTATGCTGATTTCCCCCTCTAATGTTCATAATTACTTTTATAATAAAAAGAAACACATTAACAGGAAGAACTGTGTCTCATTTCAAGAACTGCTATTCCTTTTAGCAGAGGCTAAGAAATTTGTAATCCACGGTTTCTACCTTTTCCCCAGTTCCAAGAAAACTCAGTCAAACTTCAACCACAGCAATCATCAGTCTACTAGTCTAGATCATTCTGTTCTTCTCATTCTCCAGGTTCTTCCAGCTGGTGCTGACAAGTAAGTTGACATCAGACAGATTAGCAGAAGAAAATCAAGTTTAATTTTGCATGTGTGGGAGCCCCACATACATGAGAGGGTCAAAGACAGAAAGTCTTTGATATGTCACCCTGAGCTAAGGATGGGATAGGGGCTGGGGGTTCAAAGACGAGGAAGGCAAGTCACAGGTCTATAGGAAAAAGAGCAGATGTTTTAGATGTAATTAGATGTTCATAGGAGATCGGTTACTCAGATAAAATTTATCTTTGGCATTAACTCTAATTCTGGGAAAAACCTCCAATTTAAATTCTTTTTAGACAGTTAAGGGAATGGCAAAAGGTTTCTGCTGGACCTGGAGGGTCTCGGTTGTTCAGCTCAATTACCACATGCCGAAGTGGCACATTTTAGGGACACTTGCTCTGAACCTCTTCAACCGCATGAGTCAGTTCTTAAACGTGTACTACCCTCACTTTACTACTCACATCGTCTTATGTGTATGAATTACTTTTTCAGCCAGACCACTGACTCTCAAGGAGGGGAATAAAGAAGAGAAAAGGGATAGGTGGATAAAAGTATGGTCTGCCGGATGAGATCAGCCTGGAGGTCCCTTTCTAGAGCACACAACAGCTCACTTGCGCCACCCCAAAACGAAAGCATCACTGCCACTGTGGGACGACATACTCGAGGGAGCTGTTGTACCCTGGAGGGGAGTTAGGAGGTAAAGTGAATTAATAACCAGTGGTGAGGATCACATTTCCACTAAAAGATGAATTTTGGAATCAAAAGCTTATTGGTTTCAATCCTAGATCTAATGCTTAACCTAAGTTCTGTATTCTCAAATGGATATAAAAATGCCTTTCTTTCAATAATGAATATTAAATGTATCCTAAGTGCTAACAGAAAGAGTTCAGTAAATGCCCTTTAGGAATTATTTTTCGAGCAGATTTGGGAGATCCTTTACACCAGGGTTTCTCAATCTTGGCACCATAGACAATTTTAATGGATCAGAAAATGCCTAACTGTGAAGTGTCATGGGCTAAGTTGTGTTCCCCATCCCTACCATTCACATATTGAAGCTGTAACCCCCAGTATCTCAGAATGTGAATGCATTTGGAAATAGGGTTGTTGTTAAGTTTATTTATTTATTTTTGAGAGAGAGGGCGTGGGCACAAGTGGGGGTGGGGCAGAGAGAGTGGGAGAGAGACAGAGAATCCTGCGCTGTCACTGTGGGAGCCCGACACAGTGCTCGAACCCACAGACCATGAGATCATGACCTGAGCCAAAATTAAGAGTCAGATACTTAACTGACTGAGCTACCTGGAAATAGGGTTTTTAGAGTGATAATTAAAGTACAGTGAAGTGATCTGGATGGGCCCTGATCCAACATGATTGCTGTCCTTAGAAGATGACGACACAAACATGCGCAAGCAAAGAGGAGAGATCACCTAAGGACACAACAAGAAGGTGGCTCTCTACAAGCCCCAGGAAGAGATCTGAGAAGACACTGACCCTACTGACTTCATCTTGGACTGCTATCCTCCATGAACGGGAAGGGAAATATTTTGTTTTTCCTTTTAAGTCACCCAGGCCATGGTAGTGTTATGGCAGCTTGAGCAAACACTCCATAGGGCTTGCCCTGTGTGCTATATACATTGTTCAGAAGCATGGTATGCATTCATACCAAAGGCAATCTCCTAACCCCACAGTGTGACACCTAAAAACGTCTCCACAGGTGGTGCCTGGGTGGCTCAGTCGGTTAAGCATTTGACTTTGGCTCAGGTCTTGGTCTCCTGGTTTATGGGTCCAAGCCCCATGCTGGACTCTGTGCTGACAGCTCAGAGCCTGGAGACTGCTTTGAATTCTCTCTCTCTCTGCCCTTCCCCCTGCCCACACTCTGTGTCTCTCTCTTTCAAAAATAAACAAACATGAAAAAATAAGTTTTTTTAAATGTCTCCACAAATTGGCAAAAGTCCCTTAGGAGCAAAATCTTCTCTGCCCTACTGACTACCATCTTCTCAGACGGCCTTCGGTCACCTCTATTTTCCTAGTGCTCAGCACAGTGACTGCTACTTGACTAAGAAGATAACCAAATATTTACTGAATAAAGTCATTTGCCTGTTTCCCTATCTGAGGTCTCACTACTCCCTTGTTGCCCTTTTACTGTGTTAAAAAAAAAAAAAGAAAAGAAAAAGAAGTAACAGGCCCAAAATGGAGTCGCATACTCCCATAACAGCAACTAAGACTTAGTTGTATTGCAGGAATGTGACCTTTAGCCCGAACTTCTTGATCAGCACTAGTGAGGTCATCTGCATGAAAGGCCCCTTCTCCTCTCCCCAAAAGGTGACCTGGACTAAACCAATGGTTTCTTTTGCTAACGACTTCCTTGTCCCATCTCCTTTCTGCCTTTAAAAATATTCCATTTTGTACAGCTCTTTGAGCTCCTTTCTACTTATAGATGGGATGCTGCCTGATTCATGAATCCCTGAATAAAGCCAATTAGATGTTCAAATTTACTTGTCTGGATTTGGGGTTTTGTTGTTGTTGTTGTTTTTACAGCTGCAATTAAAATAGTAATTATTTCCAGTTTAATTTATAGTGGTTGTGCAATTTTTAATAAAAGTTTTTGTTTTAGCACCATTTCTGGCAATTCAGTGACATAAAGATCACATCAGTGTTAAACCTTACTTTGCTTGGTATTGCTCCCTCACCTCACATCAGATTCTCTGACCGATTCCGTGAGCAGTGCTGCTTTTAGTTTCCTTAATGCACCACTCATAATTCAGCAGAGGAAATGACTATGACAAATTCTTATGTAACCATTTGAAGCTCAGAGAACTCAAAAGGAAAACAAATGGCCATTTGAACGTGAAAACGCTGAACTCTAAGTGATAATGAGACTCCGCACATTATCCAGGAACCCGAAAGCATACCAAAAAGCCAAAGTCAATGGAGACATTCTTTGCAAAGGGGAAGCCACAACCGTCGCTGGCACATTCATGTTTGTTGTCTTAACATGGGCGAGTGTGCGGTCGTGTTATTTGAAAGCGGACGTGTGCGGGCTGGGCAGTGACGTGGCGACGGGGAAGGGAGAGGAGGGCTGGCTCGAGATGCCAAAGAGAGGCGTTGGGAAGGACTCTGGAAGGAACTGGGAACCAGTGGACATTTTGCAGAGACGACAATTTCTGACCAAGCCCTTCCAATGATTGGCAGCTTGTACTCAACTATTCACATGACAGTTTTCGGGGCATTATTTTCAACTGATATAGAGTCTGTTCATTTACAAAATCCATTTATTGCATTCTTTCTATTTAATAGCTGGGATTCAGAGTTAACAATCTGATTTACCCAAGTGAAAAAAAAAAAAAAAAAGACTAACATCATTTTGAAGTGCCATTTCCAAAGTAGATGCTTGATGTCTCAAAGTTATTGTTTGTGACTTTAAGTTAGAGTACCCAACACACCCCTCCAAGTGACGAACAACTACATTAAACTCGGGCAACGACTATCACGTAACTGCTATGACAGGCATGCTGGCGTCCGGGCTTTAGGAGCTGACACACACCCGAGGTGATTTATGACATCCCGCCTTTCCAGAAATACAGAGGCTCTTACCTCCTCAGCTGTTCCTTGTGGCAGAGAGGTTGAAAAGAATCATTTTCTCAAGTTAAGTTTCTCCATGGAAGAGAAGGAGAATGCCTTAAGGACATCCTGAAATTTAGAAACAAAACCCCGCAAAACTCCTTTGCCAAAACGTCTGTGTACCCTGCAAAGCTGGCGGATGTGTGGATGTATTTTTAGAGAGAGATGTTTTAGAGACGGGAGGTAACTGACCAAGTGAGGATGTTCTGTAACTTATTTTTCCCAGGAATAACAAAAAAGAATGAAAATCGGCTACCCATCATATTGAGAAGTTAACACCTTCACTTGGGCATTTATGAACACGAAGTCTGCGTGGCAACCCAAAGCAGCACATGCCACCCACCACACTGGAAAAGTCAGCAAAGCCCACACTAATTCCTGTTCCGCTTATTTCTCGGCTCAATCTCAGCAATCTCATCTGATCTTGTTCGACGATTGTGCCTTGGACTCATTTCTGCATCTTGAAGATCATTTCTGAAAACAGAAAGAAGGAAACAGCACCTTAGAAGATAGTGATCATGATTCTTCTACAGCAGTTTCTAGTTAACACGTGCTTTCACGTGCACTATTTCTTTTTTTTTTTTTTTTTTAATTTTTTTTTTAATGTTTTATTTATTTCTAGGAGAGAGATAGAGACAGCATGAGCAGGGGAGGGTCAGAGAGAGAGGGAGTCACAGACTGAAACAGGCTCCGGGCTCTGAGCTGGCAGTCAGCACAGAGCCCGATGCGGGGCTCGAACCCACGAACCGCGAGATCATGACCCAAGCGAAAGTCGGACGCTTAACCGACTAAGCCACCCAGGCGCCCCTCACGTGCACTATTTCATTGAAACCTCCACACAGCCCTCTACTCCACTGGCTCATCTATTACAATAATGATTATTACTATTTTTAAACACATTTTATAACTGGGAAAACAGTGACTTAGCAAAGATCACAGGCTGTAAGTGACAGAGGCAGGAATCGAACCCCTTTCTTCTAAATCAAAACCTACAATAGCTTTACACTTTGCTTGACATGAAGAAAACTGGAAGAAAAAAAAAGGTGCTTCTGTCCTAACAAGACAAAGTCAGAGTGCAATGAAATCATTCTCGTAATCCTGCCTGAGGGCTGAGGTTGTAAGGTAACCAAGACAACAAAATTCGAAAGCAAGATAGGCCCCACCAGAGAGACGGGTCACATCTCACTTTGGACACAGCACTGGAGAAAGGTGGTTACTGTACAACCAGGTAAGAGGATATGCGCTAACATCTGATGGAATTCTGAACTATGGGCTAGTGTGGAAGGACCCTGACGCACGGAGAGGCTATGTGCACATGGAAGCTCTTTTCCAGGAACCTCCACCAAATGCTCCTGAGAAAAACTGGGAACAGGGCAGGAGACTGAGAACAGCCCACTTTGGTGGCATAGGATAAAGCTGGTGAATGGGGGCACAGAATGGGTCGGGCAGAAAGCCCTATCCCTTCCTGGGACTATTCTCTTCTACAAAGCGAAAGCTTTCAGTCACTGGGGGAATCTCACCGGCCCATGGCAATCAGGCAAAGATCTACTGTCTATGGAAGAGGAGCAGAGGGAAGAGCAATCTGCGTGAGCGGGAAGGACAGGAAATCAATTGTAAGAACACTAGCAAAGGTATTTTCTTGCTGAGGAAATGGTAGAAATAAAAGCCTCTACTTCTAGAGGAAGGACAGAAAATCATCTTGGGCTAATGCTCTCAAATAACACCAAGCAGAGGCTGGGTCAAGGCAGTCTGACTATCTTGGGAGGGAGAGGGGAGAAGGACAAATCTCCACCCCCAAGATCCAGGCACACGGGGCCTGCCCAAGACCGTAGCTGGAACAAGACAAGAGAGAGCCTGAGCAGGCCCCCACCAGGAGCCGAGCACCAACTATTAGGGAGTAACAGTAACTGCTGAGGGCGAGGTATGAACATGAAGACGGGCCCCTCTAGGATGCAGACATGTAGACGAGGCTGAAAGGTAAATGGGAACAAAAGCAGTGAACAAAACCTTCCCACAATCAAGCCCCCACACTAAGCACAAGGTAAAAGTGGCCCAGTGGTTGAAGATCTTGATGCCTCTGATATCCACTGACGGTCATTCATGTTAGAACAAGGAAATTCCAACCTGGGTCAATTCCCCACACGAATGGCCTAACAGAAGAAGCAAGCCTGTTTCCAGGTATAAGCACTATTTTTAACTCAGTATCTATGGCCCTTCACTGTATGTCTGGCACTCGTGCAAAATGCACAAAGAAGAAAAAACAAATAATAAGGAGTCCAGTGTCAAGAGAGAAAGTAGCCAAGAGAAAGACAGCAACTGATTAATATGGTAAAGGCTCTAGGGAAAAGCTGGAGAACATACATGGAGAGATGTTCCAGGGGTGGCTCTGAGAGACAAAGGTCATTACTGCCCCTCCCTTTCTGCACCTCCCGGAGCCTAAGAGGTTCCTCCCCAGGTGTCAACATTGTTGCTTTCTCCAACCCCCCAAAATCAGCATGTTCCTTTTTCTCAGCTGGAACTTTACCTTTTCTCCAATCACCCCCTATCCACACGCAGTCCTTTGACCCGGAAGAGTCAAGTGTAAGAGGGATAAGAACATTTTTATTAAACTTTTCAGAGACTCATTATGTTCCCCACTTTGACCCATGTCCTCCAGAGCAAGAGGACTCAGTGAGTAGTATACTCAGCCAAGCGCTTACTACTTTTGATTTAGGACAGGGATTGGCAAACTTTTTGTGTAAAGGACCAGATATTTGGGGCTCTGAGGGCCATAGAGTCTGTTGCAACGCAATCCTGTTGTAACATGAAAAGAAACAGAGCCAGGAGATAAACAAATGTATGTGTCTATGTTCCAATAAAACTTTATCAAACAGAGAGCAGGCCAGATTTGACCCATGGGCCAGAGTTTGCTGATCCCTGACCTGGAACCCTGTCACTACAGCAAGTGAATCCAATAAGCTGGCCCAGAATTAAGTCTAAATTCTCGAAGACCCCTCTTGGCTAAACTGCCACCCAGAAGGTGTACCAATCTGGCCAGTATGTGGTTGCTGTTAGGAGAAAGAAAGAAGCATCATGCTTATGAATAGTTAAGGAACCCTGAGTTTCTGAAATAGGTAAATATAACCCCAACGTGCTTTTTGTCCTAACCATTACCCAGAAAGTGGCCAAAAGATGATTCCTTTCTGGGGACAGCAGCATTCAGTGTCCAAACTTCCTTACTAAGGTGTATGGACCGGGAGAAGGTGAGGAGGGAGTTGGTATTTTTAAATATAAATATTAGATGCCTGTGGATTACAGGGAGGATAAAGGGTTGAGTGAATCCCTTGACCATCAGCCCATTATTGATTCCAGTCATTCTCTTTGGAAAATGGGCCCTTATTATTGATATGTTCATGAGTGACCCAGATGGTTCAATTAGCACCCTTCAGGCTTGTTAGTCTCAGCGCAGAGGATTTGCCAATCTGTGGCCTTCATGACTTTTATGGTCTGCTTAACCTTAGTTACCTCTTTAAAGGTTCCATCTCCAAATAAAGTCACATTGGAGGTTAGGGCTTCAACATATGAATATTAGAGGAACACAATTCAGTCCTTAAGAGCCTCCACGGACCAGGCCATTTGGTTATTAAGTTTTTTAAAGTTTATTTCTTTATTTTGAGAGAAAGAGCACAAGTGGGATAGGAACAGAGAGAGAGGAGGAGAAATAATCCCAAGCAGGCTCCACACTGTCAGTGCAGAGCCTAGTGTGGGATGAGATCATGACCTGAGCTGAAATCAAGAGTCGTAACACTTAACCAACTGAGCCACCCAGGCACCCCAGGCCATTCAGTTTCGACAAGAACCTAGTAACAAGTAAAGAGCTGTTTTTCAAAAGGGGTATGACTGGCAGCTATGCTAGGCTGGACACACGTCCACAATCCCCAAAGGTGCCTCTGGCTGAAGCCTGCGTCCCTTTGCCAGAGGCTCCAGTCAGGAAAATCATTAGTCATAAAGACCTGTGGCTCTAAGGGGTCACTAGGGTTGTGGGAACGCAGGGGACTAGCACTTCCCTGTGTGAGGCTCTTCCTTATCAGAGAATCTGCTCTTGCACTTACTGGATGGGGACCTCTAAGTGCATAACACATCAATTCCTACATACATTCAAATTTAAAGACAACAATAGTACAATGAATTAGCCCAAAGGCCCCCACCTCCAAGGTCACATTAGCTTTCCTATCATAAACCTTATCCAACCCCATAAAATCAATGCAGGTGCTTCGTTCCCACATAGAACAGGGCAGGGTGGTGAATCTGGCACTTATATCCAGCGGAGCCATCAAATCCCTTCCCAAAGTTCAGCAACACATCCAGACTGGAATAGACAGCCTTTCATCTCTCTTAGGCACAGGGGAACTTCAGCTCCACTTCTAATCAATAAAGCTTGAATAGCCAAAACAATTCTAAGGAAGAAAAATTCATACTGACAACAACATATGCTGATAAGGATGTGGAATAAGAAAAATTCTCATTCACTGCTGGTAGGAGTGCAAAATGGCACAGCCACTCCAGAAGAAAGTTTGGCAGTTTCTCACAAAACTAAACACAGTCTTACCATACCATCCAGAGATTGCACTCCTTGGTATTTTCCCAACTGCACTGAAAACTTAGGTCCACACTAAACCCTGCGCTTTCTTTTTAATTAAAATACAATAATATACAGCACTTTACTCATAGTTGTCAAAACTTGGAAGCAACCAAGATGTCCTTCAATAGGTGAATGGATAAATGAACTGTAGTAATTAATCCATACAGTGGAATATTACTCAGCACTAAAAAGAAATGAGCTATCAAGCCATGAAGTCTTAAATGAATATTACTAAGTGAAATGAGCCAATGTGAAAAGGCTACATACTGTATGACTGCAACTATACAACATTCTAGAAAAGGCAAAACTAGGGAGACAGTAAAAAAAAAAAAAAGAAAGAAAAAAAGAAAAAAAATCATGGTTGTCAGGGACCTAGGGAGAAGGAGAGATGAATAGGTAGAGCACAAAGGATTTTTAGGGCAGAGAAACTATTCTGTAGAGTATAATGGTGGATACATGTCTTATACATTTGTTAAATCCATACACTAAAAACACAAAGAATAATTCTGATGTAAACTGAAAAAAGAGGCCTCATACTAGTTGATTTCAAGACATAAAGCTTCAGTAATGAAGACAGTGTGTTATTGGTGAAAAGACAAACATATAGATCAACTGAACAAAACAGTGATGCCTGGAGTAGACCCACACATATATATTCAATTGATTTTTGATAAAGGCACAAGGTTATTAAATGGGGAGAGGATAGTTTCAATAAATAAAGCTAGAGAAAATGGAAACCCACATGTAAAACAGAAAAACTGAACCTCAATCCTTATTGTGCATCATTTATAAAAATTATCTTGAAATGGGCTATAGACCTACATGTAAACCCTAAAACTCCCAGAACATAATA